TCCTCGCTCACCCCTTCCTCCTGCCTCCTGCTGCTACTCCTACTGCTTCTGTTTGCATCCCGCCCAGGAGTCAGGAGTGGCGATCCGGAGGGTCCAGGTGAAGAGGTCCAATTCGGAAATCCGAGTTCCCAGAGTGACATAACCACGAATACTTTAGACGTCCCTAAGTAACACATTATACGAAACACTAAGATATTAGAAATTTGCTGATTTTAGTAGGTCGCCTAATTTAGTAGGTGGCCCAACCCTCAAGAGGCTTTGAGACCTCGGGAGACGAGGCAGAAGAGGAGAGGGCAGGGGAAACGGGGAAAATGTCGGGGGGGGGGGCGCTTAATTGTTCTAGCCTGGAAGGTCAGTTCTAATCAATGGGGAATGGCCCTCGCGAGTGCCAGCGATCAAAATAAACAACAAAAAGGGTGCAGCAAACGGCACGCTAAGCCGCAATCGCCGCCCCGCGCGCGCCCTCCTCCATTGTCCCGCTGAGAAGGGGGGCAAGGAGAACTAGGGGGCAAGTGGGTGCGATGAAAAGGGGAGAGACGGGAAAAGAGGAGGGCAGCTGCCAGGGATGTGTCCTGGCAAAAATTTAGAGGCGCATCCAGCCGCGGAAGGGGGAGGAACCCAGGAAGGCCCAACAGAAAAATTGAGGGAGGGATGTCATCGATCCTCGCCGATGTTTCCAGCTCAGCTTCGCAATGCACTGGTTACTTCAGAGGGCGCAAAAGCCATGCATGACCACGAATTCTCGCGCACAGCCGCGTCAACAGAAACCCTCTACTGACCTCTTGCCCCTATGGATTATGTTTATGTTGTCTGTGCTTTGTCACCTGTTTTCCCGCTGCATCCTCTACCCCGACCGCAATTCGTTTGACGGGGAATTGGGCCGCAGCGCCCATGAAAAAACAGCTCCTTGAACTTGAAGCTCCTAGACGCAACAGCTCCTTGAAACACATATCATCGAATGCAGCTGAAGCAGCAGTGCCGCTGCGCCTATTCGAACTTTACATCGGCCGGCTCGCAGTTCCGATATTGCCGCACAAGTTCTGAGTGCAACGTCAAGCAATGATGCAGCGACGAACGCCCTCGCCGATTTCGCTCTCGTCGCAGTGGCACCAGCTGTCTTTCGGATTATCTACCATCTGGACCTGGTCCTCAATTACATGCATGAACAAATGGTGCTTCGGAAAAAACCTTCTAACATAAAGGAACATCTGCCTTCTTAGAGTCTATAGAAAGCTCGCAGTAAAGGAGCGCATACTGGGTCCGTAGTCTGAGGATCTTCTCCTGTGATGCATTGAGGACCCAATTATCGATGTCTCTGTACATGTCGTGTAGCGTTTCTACGCACCGCAGCCTCATCCTGTCGCGCGGACTCTCGCATGGGAAAACATGCTTCATGATGAGCAGCGTGACGGGCAGCATGCGCCGCACCTCGGCGGCCTTGAGTGCAAGCTTGGGCCCCTTCTTCGGCCGCTTGAGCATCGTCAGGGTGAGGTGGTTGATCGGGGGCTGCCCGCCCTTGGCGACCTGCTTCGAGGCGACCCTGATCATGTTCATGAGGAGGAGGAGGAGGAGGAGGAGGAGGAGGAGGAGGAGGAGGAGGGGAGGGAGGTGGGGGGAGGGGGGGGGGGGGGGGGGGGGAGGAGGAGGAGGAGGGAGGAGGAGGAGGAGGAGGAGGAGGGAGGAGGAGGAGGAGGAGGAGGAGGAGGAGGAGGAGGAGGAGGGAGGAGGAGCAGGAGCAGCAGCAGCAGCAGCTTCGCCGCCGTCTCCCTGCTTTTGCTGGCCGGCGCCATCCGTGGAGAGGGGTGCCGCCGCGCGTGCGCCACGGCTCCCAGAAGACATTGCCCAAGAGATCAAGCACGATCCTCAGGAGGGAAAAAACACACAGACACAATGAATCGTCGATCCCCAGGGAACTATGGGAAAACATGGGACGTGGGGGGGAAAACAAAAACCCAGAAAATATTTGAAATTATACGGAATCCTGTTATTCGTGTGTATTTATTCGTGTGTCCCAGGGCCCCTTTCAGATACCTGCGGCTCCGAATGTTCTCACAGAAGGGGCCCGACCACGAGAAACCTTCCACGAGGAACCCAACCCTGAGACCCCAGGGCGCCCATCGATGATCAGCGTGGGAGTGCCGCGCTTTCCGTGGCAGAACCAACGAACGCAAAACAACCGAGGGCACCTGGGAGGCATGCAAGGCGTTTCATGGCATGGGCCTCCATGTGGTTATTCGTCCACCGTTTTCTTCAACATGTGTTCTGTAATTGCTATGTTTTCTGTCGCGTTTCTGTTTTCTGTCGTTTTTCTGATTCTCGGGGCACCGAGGTCGCCGACGTGCATCAAATCAACGGACACGTAAGACAGCTGGAACCCTGGCCAGGAGAACATCGTCGACACAAACTGCCCTGAACACTCGGCACTTCTCAAATAGCTTCCGTGGCTGCGGCGTTCTGCTCTCCAGGGGGCATCCTCGTCGCACCTCCTGAAATCACGATCGGTCGTGTTGGCGTTGTAAATCCAGCACGCATTTGTATCGGGCCCTTCCCCGCGCCAGCCGCACATCCCGAACGCCTGTTTCATCCACGACCAGTCCCCTCTTACCTGGAGGCAGGCTGCTCTGACCCGCACGCTGCTGCCAGCGGCGTCAGCGCGGGCCTGGCCGCTGTTGAACGGCGAAGACGCCAGCAAGATGCCGTCGTGCCACTCGTGCGGCAACTCCCTTACTGCCATGGTGTCCAGGGGCCATCGCATGACGGCCCAGACGGACTCGAAAGTGTGCCGCCCGTAACAGCCACACGAAGTCTGCCTGCGTGAGCGTACAGAACGCCCTCGGCCGTTCGGGAGCAAGCGGGCATGGCCGTGCGCACTCTGAGTCAAACGCAAAAATTGTCAACTGACGTCGAGCCGATAGAACCTCATGAGCCCCAACTGGCCGCCCCAGGAGCACCAAACATGCGCGATGCCTGCCCGCTCGTTCCCGATCATTGGAGGGTTGACGCGCCGCATTGACACGGGCGCCTCTTTGGGAAGGTGGCAAACCAACAACGTTTATGATGTTTCCCGCTGATGACGTTAAACAGCATCATGTAGATACTGTCACGGCGCGTGTATGGCGCCGCACCCCCCCACACGCCCAAGCACAACAATTTATTCTGCACTGAGGGGATGTCAAGCCGATCTCCCCATTCCACGAGCGTGCGCTGCAATCCTGGACGAGAATCTCCGAGGTCGCTCCACTCGCGATGGCGATCGGGCCGAACAGCATGGTCCACGACTTCACGTGGCAGTAGGAATGACATTAGCAACTTCTCCTTACAACTCTCCTTGGGGCCACACCCAGAAACACAAGCTTGATACGGAGGAGGTACATCGCCCGCTGTATCGAGCTTCGCCATGATGCCTCGATGAGGCCTGTTCGAGGGAGCCTCGAGCACTGACCCCCACGACCTGAGCCCCTTGCGGACACTCCGCGGGGCCGCACGTGGAGGCCGCGCGGGAGCACTCTGCGACGCCGGTAGCCGCGACGTTGCCCTTGCAGTACCTCGACCGTGAAAGCTTGGAGAGGTCTTCCTCCCCAGCGCGCTTGTTCCGGCCGCGGTCCTGCCTGGGTGGAGGCAGACAGGACACGATCAAATCGGCCATGGTGGGGGCCCACGTGCGGGGTTGGGGTCATTAGATTGCCAGCTCCTGATGCCTCGCAGCAGCTAGAGTCGGCGGAGGCGGCGGCGGCGGGGCGACGCCTGTCGGCCCGTGGCCATCGTTCAAACGTTGCTTGATGCTGCCAAAAAGTGGCATGCCGCACGGCAACCTCGACCCAAGCACCTACCACATGCATGAGTAGCATGTCTGTTTATTGTAGCAGTTATGGTTTCTGTAGCGCGTCTGTTTTCTGTCGCGTGTCTGTTTTCTGTATGTGCAGAGTGTTTTCTGTTAAGTTTTTGCCAGTTTACGAGATTACGATTTCTTTCTCTAAGTTGTTTTGTCCGTGGCATGTTTGTCTCCTGTAGCTGCGATGTTTTCTGTGACGTGTCTGATCGCTTAAGGGGTTGTTTTGTCTGTGGCGTATCTGTTTTCTGCAGTGTTGTTGTTTTTGTTGTAGCGTTTCTACGATATGCCTTGTATATGTGGTATTTGGCGTATCTATATTCTGACGACGCCTGGTGCAATGCCTTTGGGCCCCTTGGAGTCGCCGCGGGGCTTTGGGGCGCCTTCTGGAGCAGCCCAAGAGACCTCTCGGGGACCTTCTTAAAGCCATCTTGGGGCCATTTACTCGGCATCAGCAGCATGTGTTTCCCAGTCGAAGAACAAAACAAGACGCGGCCCAAACTGGGCCCTGGATCACCACGACGACGACACCGCGACGGCGAGGACCACGACCGCCAGGATATGACAGTTTCTCATATCCAGCAGCCCCGTCCGCCGAGCCCCCCAGGAAAACCCGCCAGGACGGCCTGGGCGACGACGCAGCCCTCCTGCAGGATATGGCATGTTTCTCATATCCAGCGAGACTCCTGCAGTAGATGATATGTTTCTCACATCCAGCCCCTGCTTATTTTTCGGGTGGAACGCGCATTCTGCAGATGCCCAATAGAAGGCCCTCAGGGCGCCCCGATGAGGGCCCCGAGAAACTCCAGGGAGGTCCCGAGAGGGGTCCTGCGCGGCCAGCGCCGTCGCAATCACAGATTCGCTGCCCCCTTCTTGGAGTCGTCTGAGGCCCTCTAAGTTCCAGCATGCCCTCTCGAGCCACGAACTGTCGGCGC